CCCACGGTATGCTATATGTAGGTGCCAGCGCCAGGGGGTGTGCGCAGGTGCTGGAAGATTTTGAGACATCTGACGCCCTCTTGGACCCACCTGTCGCTAATAATGACTGAAGGGCAGTAACTGTAAGCCCCCTGACGTATTTAGGGCAAGAAGGCCGAGACATGTTCCTTCATATTCCAGTTTCGTCACGGATGCAAATCCCACGCAGTGATTTGCCTCCTTCGAGTATTGAATAGAGTTTCGTTCGCTCGTGTTATGTGTTGCACTCGGCTAAGCCAGTGGGCTTGGGGGTTTCATTAGCAGCTAGTTTACTGAGAGGCTCGTGACCGCACGAGGGCATCTTTTACTTCTTCTCCAAGTGTCCCGTAGACCTCAAGGTGTATTCTCCCTTGATCTTGATTGCTTAGTATTAATTAATCAAAGGCTTAACTAGGGAGACGCTCGACCACCAGCCTTTCGCAGCTAAGTACAAGAAGTGAATTTTGGCGGGAATGTGGGTGATTGGTTTGTCTGTACCGCTGTCAGTATGACCCCCCTTCCCGTGGCTTAACATCCTGACTCCACCTCCCACCGATATGGGTGATAGCCAGGCGCGGGAACACGTCATTCGTGGGTGAAATATCTGTGCCGCAATAGATGCACTTGGAGCAGGGTTCAGGCCACTAGTAGGCAATGATGAGGCCTCCAAAAGCTCACTTCTACATAAGCCATGATATATGCATTGGCCTCCTAGTTACTGTTGGCTTGTAGCATCGAATACGGATTTCTCGCACAAAGGTTTTGCGGCCAAATATACGTTCGCTAACTTCAATCTCGAAATGTCCTCAGTCCAGACAGGAGGGAATCTCGAGTGGCACAATGCTGGGCCCCTAACCACAACATGGACTGCTCCCCAATCGTGTGCGACCGAGCCAGTCATCCGCAGCGGCCTGGCAGTCCCTCAGGTACCTTGGTTTCCGCGTTTGATTGTTGATGGGTGCGACGGCTGGAACATTCCAGACGAGTGTCGTCCCAACGGCGGCAAGGTCAATGAAATATATGAAAACGTCGATCTCGCCGTGGAAGTGACCACCGCCCACTATTATTTTCCCGGCATCCAGTGCCCTGACAATTGGGTCACCGTCGGCATCGCTGCCATGAACAATGGCGCCCCCAGTGTGTCTGGTATTTTTCAGCCGACTGCCTTCACCGAGGGAGCACCTGGGGAGACGACGAACTTCCCAGCCGCCAACTTCCAAGCCAACATGCTAACTTCGATTCTGGAACCCACTCAGACAGCCGTGGCCTGCTGCCCAAGGTGAGCCATACCCTATCTCCAAAAGCATGTTTCGTTTGCAGACTAATTGGGACCACATCCACAGCGGCTACTCAGTCAACCCATACCAAGGCTGCTGGTCTAACTTCCCACTTTCTGAGCTGGCTACTAGAACGGCTTGCCAGTATAGATATATTGGCCCTGGCCCTGGAGAAGGCAACGAACTAAGGACCGAGACCTTCGAATTCGCGGGTAAGACTACGACCGCAACGCAAAGGAAATTTCCCTTTACAACAGGGTGGCGCGACACCTCCGACGCCGTGACCTATATCATCCCATTTGACTCGTCTGGTCTCCCCGAGGAAACGGCCAGCGGATTGGCTGCCTTTGGCGAGGAGCCCTGGGAGTCAGGTGTTGCCGTTGTACAGGCTATCTATCTTGTAAATAGTGGGGATGGATACGATGAAAAGAACGGCAATGGCAACGACAACGAGGAAGCGACTACAAACAGTCCAGTTAGTACTGGCGGTGGCCAACACAGTGCTGCTCATGCGCTCATGCCCAACCGGTGGGCCGCTATCGGTACCATCCTAGGCGCGTGGGGTGTTAGTGTGATCGTGGGCGTAGCTCTTTTGGCCACTCGGTAACATCACCCGTAATCTTACTCGTTGTCTCGTGGCACACATAATTCAACGGTGAGAGACGGTTTGAGAGCGTGCGATTATTGAACAATGGCTTCTATTTCTGCCGCCGGGCGCAATTCTGAAGTGTGCGCAATGATTGGCTTCAAGTTATGGCTGGAGCCCAAGTGATCAGAGGCATGTGTGAGCCGACTGAGCGGCGTGGCTGAATATTCGTTGGGACTAAGGCCTCTGATTATAAAGGAGGACTATAATTCCAATGACGATCTCTGCAGTAGCAAGGCCCCCGTGTCGATGTGGGTTGAGATAAGCTTTAGGATATCATCGTGATTCGAGTTCGTTCCAAGAGCAGTAGCTTTCACGGTGGAGTCAATGGGACGAAAGAGCCAATTCCTTGACTCTGGATATGACTAGAGCCAGGCCCACGCCGACTGGAAGTCATCCTCAGAAATTCACTAATGCAAGGAAACCAGGAATGATGTAATTATGGGGCTTGTTATTTCTATTTGCATGTACTTGCTGGGCCAACTGATCAATTAGGCGACATATCAAGTCCAGAGCCAGAAAATTCAGCAAAGGATCTCCCGACTTCAGAGGTTAGCCTGATGGGTCGACATTGAGATGTAGGCATATTCAGAACTGGAATTGAACTGTAAGATAGTATTTTTCCGCATCTAGTTATGTGCTCAGAGTGCCTGGACTCGGGGGCACCATTCCAGAGTCCCACAAGACAGGCGTTTCGCCCAGAACAAACTCCAGTAAGCCTCCCCTCTGATCTCCGCCAAGGAGATCCTCATGGCTTACCCAACTCTTGTCCCATTCTTTGCCATTCACTTTGAGGCTTTGTATGTAGGGACCATCGTCAATACCCTTGGCCGTGACCCGTAGCGTTCCATTTACGCCAACCTTCATGCTGTAAGATGCAAATCTTGGTGCAAGAATCAAATACACAGGTTGTGTTACGACAGGATAAAGTCCGAGCAAGTTCCAGACGAGCCAGCTACTCATGCTCCCAGCGTCATCGTTGCCAGGAATTCCGCTCGATCCAGCATGGTAAAATTCATCAACGATGGCCCGACTTCTCATGACGCTCTTCCACTGTTTCTCTTGGATGTAGTTGTACAGAAACGGTGTCATGAAGCTAGGTTCATTGCCTGGGTTGTATATCATGGACCCAATTCCGTTATTGCCTTGATCTTGTGCTCCGAGGCTGGGAACGAAACTTGTATCCAGTCGGTCTTCGAATGATTCGGAACCACCCATGAGGGAGATCAAGGTGGTCATGTCGTGAGGTGCGCCAAAGCTATACTCCCACGGAGTACCTTCATAAGAAATTGCTTGCCAATTACATTCGCCGCATGCTAGTGGATCATATGGTTCGAGGATTGTACCGTTAGGTTGCAGCGGTGCGAGAAAGCCAGTATGATTATGCGCTTCTGCCTCAGAGTTCCAAATCTTTTGCCAGCCACTAGATTTATCAGCTCACATGTTCTGTTCGTAAGTTTCTGAGTATCATACTCACGCGGAACGGCTCAAGTATGTCGTGGCCTCCTCCGGGGCCTCGCCCAGCGCCACTTGCGAGACCGCGAAGTCATTGAGCGAGTACTCAACAGTCTTACTCACGCTTCTCCCGTAGTTGACCGATACATATCCATACTTTTTCCAGTCATCCAGAGCACCTCGTCCTTCTTTTGTACTGCCCGTGGGGTCGTTGAAGTCAAAGTTGTTGTAAGGCTGCAATTCGGCGTTGGTGCGCATGGCAGCGTATCCATCCGTCCAGTTGATAAGTTGGTGGACGTCCAGGTTTTTGACGTACGCATCAGCGAGAATGTTGTCTGAGTTGGAGCCGCCCTGAACACGGCCATTATGATTATGGCTACGGCCCCTGGGCATGAATCTTTCGTGACGCCAGATGTCGATCATGGACCTGACTGGGTTACGTGCGTGAGTATAAGGACTGGTAACGGCTACGGGCGGCACTTTACTCATTATCGACTTGGCGTCTTCGGAAAGGTGAGGGAGATTAAGGCATGGGTACATCGGAAGGTATCC